GAGGAGGGGATAGGTAAATTCACACCTAATGGGTGCAGTGCACACCGTCTGGGGGATGGGCACACTTATAGCTCTGACTTGAGTGGTGCAAAGGCAATATATATAACCTAAACATTTGTACCCCATAATATTCTGAATTTTTAAAAAATGATTTAAAAAAAGATACACTAGTAGTGGCATCTACCCAAAAGATCAAAAGTCACTTTATGAAAAAGACACCTGCACTTGAATGTTTATAGTAGCACAATTCACAATTGCAAAGCTGTGGAAACAACTCAAGTGCCCATCAATACATGAGTGGATTAATAAAATATGGTATATGTATACCATGGAGTACTACTCAGCTTTAAGAAACAACAGTGATATAGCACCTCTTGTATTTTCCTGGATGGAGCTGGAACCCATTCTACTAAGTGAAGTATCTCAAGAATGGAAAAACTAGCACCGCATGTACTCACCAGCAAATTGGTATTAACGGATCAACACCTAAGTGGACATATAGGAGTAACACTTATCGGGTGTCGGGAGGGGGGAGGAGGAGATAGGTATATACAACCACATCGAGTAAGATTTGCAACGTTTGGGGGATGGACATGCTTGAAGCTCTTACTCGAGGGGGGGGCATGGGCAATATATGTAACCTTAACACTTGTACCCCCATAATACGCTAAAATAATTAATAAATAAATAATAAAAAAATAAAGATATACTAAACCTTTGTGTCTTGACATCACTAAGCCAGCTTTGTGACCCTCTGGTTAAAATCGGCATATGCCTACATTTCTGCTTATTTGAAAAGGAAACTGTGGCGTGCCGGGCCTTCTGCTTTAACTCCAAGACCTTGGGACTCTGTTTCCCCATCTGTAAGTTGGGAGAGTTGGGCAGTCTCCTCAGGGCCTCAGGGGATGGGCTGTGGGAGGCATAAGAAAGGCATGGAGGAGCTAACCAAGGCGGTTCCATTTTAATGTGAGTTCTTATCGGTTTGTTCTGTAAGAGTTTCTTGAATCAAAAAAGGACTTTGACTTAAGAAAGAAAAAGTTTGCAAACACCTGGATTAAATGAATGATCCCTCTGAGGTCCCTTGGGGTCCGAATGTGCCATGGTAGAGATAGAAATTAGTTTTGTAAATTTACCGCTTAAGTAAAATTTGCAGTCTCCTAGTTGCTAAGTCTATGGTTTGTTTTTCAAAGCAGGTACTAGCTATGCCATCTTTGAGGAGGAATCATTGGTGAAGAATGTAATCCCCACTTACAGCATTTCCTCTGGAAAGTTTTGGATCCACATTCAGAAGGTCTGTCTTGAATCATAGGGTAATTCTATTTTTAATTTTTCTCAGAAGCCTCATACTGTTTTTCATAGTGGCTGTGCTATTTACATTCCCAACAGTGGACAAGTGTTCTAATTTCTTCATATCCTCACCAACAGTCACCTTTTGTTTTTTGATAATAGCCATCCTAACACATGTGCAGTGATAGCTCATTTTGGTTTTGATTGCACTTCTTTGATGATTACTGATGTTGAGCATATTTTCATATTACTTGTTGGCCATTTGTATCTCTTCTTTGGAGAAATATCTATTCAGGCCCTTTGCCCATTTTTTAATATGGTTATTTGTTTTGTTTTGGGGTTTTTTTGGCTATATAATAATAACTCTTACAATAGTAAGAGTTTCTTATATATTTTAGAGATTAATCCCTTATCAAATATATAGCTTTCAAATATTTTCTCCCATTCCATGGGTTGCCTTTTTATCCTGTTGATTGTTTCCTTTGTGTGCTGAAGCTTTTTACTCCTGGGTATATATCCGAAAAAATTGAAATCAGGAACTCGAAGAGATGTTAGCACTTCTATGTTCATAGCAGCATTATTCACAATAGCCAAGATATGGAAACAACTCAAATGTCCATCAACAACTTAATAAAGAAAAGGTGGCATATACATACAATGGAATATTACTTAGCCTTTTAAAAAGAAGGAAATCCTGCCACATGGATGAACCTGGAGGGCATTGTGTAAGTGAGAGAAACCAGACATTTTAGAAAGACAAATACTGCATGACTCCTCTTAAACAAGATATCTAAAATAGTCAGACCCATAGAAGCAGACGCTAGAATGGTGGTTGCCAGGGACTGAGTGGACAGGGAAATAGGGAGCTGCTGTTCAAAGGGTGTAACATTTCATATATGCAAGATGAATAAGTTCTAGACATCTGCTTTACAACATAGTACCTACCAGTGCTACGCACTTAAACATTTGTTAAGAGGATAGAGCTCGTGTTAAATGTTTTTCACACACACACACACACACAAGGACACAGGAAAAGTTTGGAGGTGATGGATATATTTATTACCTTGATTATTGTAATGGTATCATGGGTGTATGCACATGTCCAAATCATCAAATTATCTACATTAAATATATAAGGTTTTCTATATCAAATATATTCAAAAAAGCTATTTTTATAAAAGTCTATTTTGTGGCACTAATCCTAGGAGGACAAGGCAGAGGCAAGGAACAATGGATTGTACTTTTGGGCCTGAGGGAGGACATGGTTAAGGGCAATAAAACAACAAACAGCAAAGGCATCTCAAGGGTAGAAGTTAAGGAGGGAGGATGGCTCCCGAAAGAAGGAAGCCAAGTGTGGAAGGGAAAATGGTTCTAAAGAGGTTACTTACTTTGGGGAGAAGGAAAGAGATGTGGCAAGCCTTTCACAGGTAAAAAAAAGCCTGTGAAGTTGAAAAGAAGAAAAGGAGAAGATGGATGAAATATGACAGAAGTAATAGAATAAGAAGAAGGTGAAGGCTTGACATGATTTGAGAAGGCTTTCTAAGCAGTGACTGCCAGTCAAAGAGAAATAAAAAGTGAAAATAAGAAAGTAAAGATGAACCAAATATAAATTTCACAATAAAGGAGGGAACAAGCAGTAAAAAAAAAAAAAAAAGAAGAAGAAGAAGAAGAAGGAAAATGAGAAGAAAAGTAGCACTCTACTACTGTAGAGTGAAGAAAACAACAGTTCAGCCAAGGAAGAGGTTTTTGTTAAGCCCCATTTCTAGAAAAAGGATGAGTCTTCGGTAAAAACTCACAGCCCTAGAAATTAGCTTCTGGGTCAAACTACCACTAAAAGTTCTTATAACTGCCTTCATAAATGGCCACATTAATTTCATGACACTCGAAGGATTCAGAACATATTCTCGAAACATCTTAGAGCTAAAATCTGAAGGCTAACTGTGACCAGCTTTTATTCACAAAGCTTCTACATCTACCATCTGCGCAACATTGCTCTCAACTTTACACAAGCCAATGAGGAAAAAAGGCTCTATGATTAGGAAGAAAAAGTAATCTTAAACAGTGTTTATAGCGCGAGCTAAGTGCCCACAACTCCCTCTCCCTGTTAGATTTTATCAACACTTTTAAAAGTCAGTGAGGAAAACGAGGAAAATGAAGATTTCTACTGAGAAGGGGGAAAAAGCCCTTTGAAGAAAGTGACTTATATTAGAGTCTAGAGAACCTCATTTTGCAAATGTAAAATATTAAGTGATTTAAACATTATGACAACTTGTTTCCATGAAAAGAAAACCAACTCCATTTTTTTAATCTATATTTATTATAAACTTTCCATGCCCACCAAGGCAAACACCATGAGAATCCGTGGGTGGAATTAAGCTAAATCAATGCTCCCTTGAGATTTGAATCTTCCCACAGACTCCTGCTGCTGCTCTGTCATGAAATGTGTCACTTTCTCTCTTTTTAAAATAATTACAACTAGTGCCCTTTATTGATAATAATAATGATCCTTATATTCACCTATTTGCCTTAGCCAAAAGAGCAAAAATCCTCTATAATAAAGAAGGAAAAATAACCTTAAATGGTTTGCATGGAGCTACTCAATAGTGGCCTTAGATCTTAGATATGTGTAATGCAAATGATAGATTGCAAAGGGCCTTGTTTTGTGTGGGGTGGAGGAGCCCACTATGGACAGTTTTTGGGGTCTGTTCCTTCTCATGGAGGGGAGGAGACAGGCTCTTTTGCTGTTCCTTTCTGGAGTGTAACTGAGTTAGATGATTTACAAAGTTTGCTACACAGAAGTCCCTCTCTCTGTGGATGGACAAGACTATTCCTCCCTCCCATGTGATAAAAGAGACAAAACAAAAACAACATAGTAGCCTGCTAGGGCCGTTGCTGAAAGAAGGGGCTGAAGACCTGGCCGTAGGGAGAAGCATGGGGTTGCTACAGAGGCTGAGGTCAAGGAAGCCTTTGGGTTTCTGCTTCTCCTCTCCCCCAGCACGAACTTGCCCAACAAGGACTCCAGCGCCCATCCGAATGCACCTGCCACTGACCCCAGCCTGGGTTCTTCATGCCAGCAGGGCCAGTCCCCCCAGGGGCTCATGAACGCAGCACATGCCTTCTCACCTCTGCTTTGCTTTCCAGGAAGCTGCAAGCCCCATCACCTCTGCACAGCGTTCCCTGACCTTCCCCTGCAGGCTTCTTCTCTGTGTTCCTCCCACCTGAGTATCCCCTGAGCACTAGGCGTTACGTCTCATGCTTTCCTTTCTTTTGCTCTAGTTCAAGAACATACATTTTGCTGTCTCGTTTAGATGGTGCACTAGAAAGACAGGTAGGCATCTCATATCTTTTGTTTCCCTCATGGCCGTAGCATAAGCCTCACTCAGGAATTACTCCCTGAGTGTTGAACTGATTCACACTGAAACGCAAGGAGGAAGAGGACGCAAAATCCTTCCGGTGTGAGTGGCTTCCCCACCAACGTCCCTCTCTGCTCGTAGTTGGGGTCAAACAGCAGCATATGAGCAAGTGAGAAGTGATTGGGAAAATAAAATAAGTCTGTATGATTTTCCTCCTACCAAAGAGGGGCTTTTTCTCCCCTTTCATTGATATCTCCTGATTTTTACAATTGCCTGTGATTTTGGAGAAAAATGCAAGCATGGGTGGTTTATGAAAGACAATTTCTGAGCCTTAGAAATCTCTATTCATCCTTTATTATGAATTTACTAAGAATATGTAGTTATTGAGAGGCTGGATTGTGTACTATGATAAATGTCGGGTACACATTAATGAGCAAAGCATGCATGGTGGTTGTTTTCACAGAGCCTGTAGTCTATGAAATGAGACAGATTTTCAACAAGTAAACAAACATAGAAAACAAAATACAAATGGGTGGATTGTATGATGTGTGAATTATATCTCAGTAAGACCATTACAAAAAAAAAATAGTGTGCAAAAAAAAACTTCAAGTAAGGTGGGCCAGTGTTCTACCCAGTGTTCTACCAAGCATGCAGGCACGACAATTGCCATCTGCATCTCCTACACGACACCCTGCACACGCTGGGTGCTTCTTAAAATATTCACGAACCAGAAGAGGTATGGTGAGCCAGGGTTGAACTTTCTTTATTGAAGATTCTGGAAAACACAAGGAGACACAAAACACTGAGCTGCCACCTCCTGTCCCAAATGTGCTGGTGGCATGTTAACTTGTCTACTTGGAATGGCTCCTCCACAGTCCATCGTTTATCTCTTTTGGGGGTAACTATAATCTCCAGCTGCCTCATTTTCCACTTTAGTGAGTCACCCAGCCAGAGGATGGAGAATGTAAGTCATTACTTTCTTCATCTTTGCAGATAATTTGATACTGTCCTTTTGAATGTTTCCTCTGTATTTATATCTTGGCAAGGGCATGCTACATTGTTTGTAATTCTGGTCTCATTGCCAGCTTTTTTTCTGGAAAAATCAAAGAAAATAAGATGCAGGATACATCAGGCCACAACCACTTGGCTTCCTTGTGGTGTGGGGTTTTTCTCATTCCCCCTGCCCGGCCCCCCACTGTCTCCCAGCTCTCTCTCTCTCTTTCTCTCTCTCTCTCTCTCTCTCTCTCTCTCTCTCTCTCTCTCTCTCTCTCTCTCTCTCTCTCTCTCTCTTTCTCCTTCTGAGGACACAGTCTTCCCTGGAGACCCTCACAGGTTACACAGTCCTACGCTGAGTCTGCTTGAGAACACACTAATCCACTTCCTCTTTCACACCCTGGAAATTAAACATTCCAGAACAACTCTTCTTCAAGGTGAGACTGACTGGCTTAATCTCTGACAGGTTTTCTTCTTGTGTTGACGTGAGCGACAGAGAAAAATTAGGTGTTCTCCAACAGGCTCTCTAAGAATACAACGAAAGGAAGCCCCTAATCTAAACCAGCCCGGAATTCCAATGTTTTGGACATGTCCTGCACTCTACAAATTATTATAGCTAGCTCCTCTAATAACAACAGGGATTGTTGGACTTCCAAAAGATAAATGAGCTTACCACTTGCTGCCCAGCGCAGCAGTTAGGGGAGTTTTCCTGGCAGATCCAAGCCGATCGTTACAGGCATGAAAGTGTCCCTTTGGTGAACGCAGATGAAAACTGAGTTATTTACCAACATTCAACAGTAACTGAATTAAAATATAAGCCTTGGCCCTCGAGTCAGAGTAAAACTTTGTTTTCTTGACATTTGGGTTTGAATGTTTTCAATATGTTGAACAAGACTCTGAAGTAAAATATTGGCACTGCATTTGTCAGCTTCCCGTCAGTTGCACGTCTGAAATACTTCCTCTGAATAAACAGTTTGACCCAGGACTATTTATGGGTGGCACTAGATCTTTATGCCCCGATGCATCTATTGAAGGTGAACAGCTTTGGGGACGTTTCCCAATTATGAGAAGAGACTAATATGTTGTGAATAGAACTAAATGAGGACTTTGGACCATCCCTAAATGAAGTGCCAAACACCTAATTGAATAGCATGTTTAATTCAATTATTGCGAAGAGGGTGGCATCAGCAATTCAACAATTCAGCCCTGGGTTTAGTAATGAACTTGAAAATATTCCATTTTTTTTTTTTTTATATCACACAGACATAGCCAAAAGATATATCTTTTCAGTATAAATTTAAGAGGACCCAGCAACTATAATAGTAATACAATAACAGTAGGGAACCATTTTAGAGAGTGGAGAACCCAAGTAGATTTTCTTTTTCCTGTCAATTTTGGAATATGACATAATAATCAAGTTAGATAATTAGATCAGTTACATTAGTTTGTCTCCCTGGCTGTTCTTCCTAGACCTAACCACAGGAACATGGTGCTGCTATGTATAATAACTAGACTGAAGGCTATGAGTTTTATTGCCTGAAGATATGTCTTATATTTTGGAAAACCAATGATGATATGTAACTAACGATGATAACTGAGCCAGTGCAGACTTGGTTTTTGCTTCCAATTTCAGGTCAATAAAACCTCTACCCCTGTGTCACCTGCAATTCAGAGCCACCAAAGAAAGGACTGAACTATAGGCACCAAAATATGAATGGAGAGCTTAACAAAATGGCAGCCACTGCTCTACGGATTTAGATTCTATTTCCTCTACATACAACTTGGGTTGTATTTTTTCTCTGTTAAAATAGTTGATTGGGTTGTGGGTCAAATAGCATCCCCTCAAAATTATATTGAGGCCAGGTGCAGTAGCTGATTGATGCCTGTAATCCTAGCACTCTGGGAGGCTGAGGTGGGAGGATCACTTGAGGTCAGGAGTTCAAGACCATCCTGAGCAAGACTGAGACCCCCTCTCTACTAAAAATAGAAAAATTGGCTGGGCGTTGTGGTGCATGCCTATAGTCTCAGCTACTCTGGAGGCTGAGGCAGGAGGATCACTTGAGCCCAGGAGTTCAAGGCTGCAGTGATCTATGATGACTCCCCTGCACTCCACCTGGGGTGACAGAGTGAGACTCTGTTTCAAAAAAAAAAAAAAAAATGCTAGGTGGAAAACCTAATCCCTAGTACTTGTGAATGTGACCTCATTTGGAAATAGGGTCTATACAGATGTAATCTTGTTAAAATGAGGACATACTAGATTGGGATGGGCCTTAATCCAAAGACTGGTGTTGTAAGGAGAGGGAAATTCAAACACACAGACACAAAAGAAAGAAGGCCATGTGAAGAGAGAAACAGACATTGGAGTAATGCATCCACAAGCCAAAGAACACCAGGGATTTTCTAAAACCACTAGAATCGAGAAAAGGCAAGAAGGATCCTAGAGCCTTCAGAGAGTGCATGGCCCTGCCCACAACTTGACTTTGGACTACCAGCCTCCAAAACCGTGAGAGTATAAATGTCTGTTGTTATAAGTTACCCAGTTTATGGTACTTGGTTATGGCAGTCTTAGGAAACTAACACAGGTTTTCATTTTTTCTTCCATTTCAGTTACTTAGTCTCTAAATTTTCCATTTTTAACTTCTGTAGTGCTTGTCCACCAAGATTTGAAAGTTACCTTTTTATTTAAAAATGAGTTTTTGGAAATGGCAGGCTTAGTTGATGACTTGCAGTGGAATGTTTGCACACTAGAGGAAAAGGAAAGAAATGCTTATTTATGTGTTTTAATGTGCTGCTCTTGCCAAAATAAAATGAATGTCCATCCATGATATGGCAGTTAAATGGGGACTAATTCTGCAGTAGAAAACCTGTGGAGAAGGAGCTCTCCATCAGTATTGCTCCCACAGGTGAGTGGACCCAATTATAATGTGCAGAAAAAGTCTCAGGGCTCCACCAATGGGCTTCTCCATGACTTGTTTGTAGTGAGCTGCCCTGCACATGTTAGGTGCTGATGAGTCGATAACCAGAGAGCACTGAATTTGAATCCTCCTCATAAAATGATCCTATCTCTTAGGGTGGCAGCAAGGGTTAAACAAGATAACATAGTACTTGCTATATACTAAGAGTTCAATGAAGAAAAAACACTATTATTATTATTATTATTAACTATAAAGAGACCTAAGATTGTATTATTGTAAGTAACTTCAAATGTCTTGTGAAAGGAAGCAAACTCTAGAAAAACATGTGAAGTATATCCAGGAGATGAAATTTACTAGCTATTTTTCAACAACATTTGCAAATCTCTTGATACCCAAAATGCTCCCCCAGATTCCTATACCCTGGCCCCAAATGATTCCAGCTGATGTTCACCTGGGCTAACACTGATACTCCAATGTCAGCTATTAGCTTGTTGACAATGATCTGCACTGTGAATCTTGTATCTGCCAACAAAAACCAACACAGTGGGAAATCAAGCCAACACTACATTTTAGCTGTGCACATTCTCTTTGATCATCAGAGTAATCCCTAAATTAGTTGATACCTATAGGTGCTAAATTTTGAGTAAGATAACGTAATTTTGTGAAAGCAGTCATTTGAATTAAGGTTCAAATGCTATGCTTGAGTGTGATTGGTTTTAGAGATAACATTTGCAAGGATTGATGGGGCATGTGTCCATGTTTGTCTGATGAACGCCTGTTCACCCTTGCCAACACAGCACCCAGCTGGCACTGTAAATAAAAGCTCCTAGAGTTCTCTCTCTGAGAGTATGCAGCTGCTACGGTTGCTGTTGCAACCTCTTGCCATAATGGCTGTGCCTCATCTTACCAAGGAAGGTTGGACTCAGCTCTCCTTCCTCAGGGGCCCACAGACCATCAGAGGGGTCCACCATCCTCCTTTCTGCAACCCTGCCTGGAGTGGTAAAAATCCTTTCCCTCCCCTAGGCTGGGCCCTGCTCCTTCCTTGCTGCAGGGATTAAGAATGGCAAAAGGTGCCAAGGACACTTGCTTTTGTTTTACTTATACAAGGTGCATATGAGATCTCTATATAAACAACTCACAGTTTGAAGAAAAGAATCTGCACTCTGGCTATAATTGCCAAGCAGAAAGTTAAGAGAATAGCCAGCAGGGTCAGGTAGAAAGCAAGTATGAAGTAATATCAAGTTTCTCAAGTTATTTGGCGGTATCAAGTTTAATCAAGTTTAGGGAGAGAGCCAAGAAGGCTGACTAGACACATTGCTTGTTGGATCATCCTGGATGGAAGGTAGAATGTTGTACTGAGGGGAGCGGAGAGCAATTGCAGCTCAGGTGTGGATCACAGGGAAAGGCAACAGAGATGTCTGGGGACCCAACCGAGAAGAACTGCGAAGCCAAGAATGAAGAAGATAGAGAGGAGAAGAGAGTAGCATGGACCAAAACCAGAGAGGCATGAAGCCCAGTAAAAGAATAAAGGGAAATTCTCCTCCCTCACCTAGGTGCCTTCAGTCAACAGAAGGACACAAAATATATTGGAGGCACTTCCACCCTCTGCGAGCCAGGCATGGTGGCTAACTAGGAATAGTGGGGTGAACCAGCGAACCTCAGTTTGGGTGTTCAAAAAGGAGAGGACAAAGAGAGACCAGAGTGCCGGCCTTCTTACACCTAGACACTTCCTCCTCTGCAGCTCCTCCATTCACAGAATCAGGGGAAGTAGTTTTAGCTCACGCTGGCTGGGAGCCGTGGCTCCTCCCCCTCATTACAACCATGAGAGTACTCAGAATAGAGAAGTTCATGAACAGCTGCTTCTCTACAGCAGGTGCACATTCTCATGGAAGGCAAAGCTGCCCCAATTTGCAAGCTTCCTGCCTGCCGCTGTTTCATGAGATCACACACTGGCTTAGACAGGTGGGCTGGACTGTGCTACCTGGACACGAGAGCAGTGCAGGGAGATGCAGGGGAGAGGTCTCAGTCCCAGGCTCGGGTGGGGAGAAAGCCTTATGAACATATCCAGTGAAACAGTGTGGAGGGGTGCTGAGGAATGGGGATCTGTGGGCACTGCCATGCCCCATCCCTGCCAAAGAACTGCGGCATTGTTTAGAGGTGTGGCACTGGAGTGAATTAGCCTAGCCCCCGGTTCCTATGACAACCAAATGCCTTGGGGCATGCTGGCTGAATAGGAGCAGTGGTCCCTTCCCCGCTAATTACAACAGGGAGTGCCACTTGAGCCAAAGAACTCACAAGCAGCCATTTCTCCCCAGTGGGAGCATGCCCCTGGCTGGGGCCCCCACCGTTCACCCCTGGGGGTGTCATGGTGGAACATGGGTGTACAGTGGGGATCCTCCTACCCACCAGCATTCTGTGAAGATATATGCTATTAGGTCAGACACACATACTGAGGGGTAGTTCAAGAGCCAGTTCTTGGGTGGTGAGGGAACTCACACAGACTGATCTGATGGGAGAGTGGCATGTGGCTCCAGGGAGCAGCAAATAAGGAGGGTGCTCACACCACCCTGCAGAGAAACTGCCCTCGTGGACAAGGACAGAAAGAGCTTGGCATGGAGCCTTAGAACTCAAGCCTTTAGGCCCCTCCCTTGAGAACAGCCTTCCCAGCTTGGAGAGATTGCCCCAAACTTCATACCAGCAGCTCCCCACAGCAGCCAGAAAAGCAACCTCTGAGGCCTGCCCAGGCTCTGCAAAGCCTTTCAGGCTCTCGCAATCCAGCTATAATCTATTTTGCTCCTCCCCACACCTCAGGGGGTATAGATATGAAGCAACTGC